AGGATGTGTCGCTGAGGATTCTGGGTGGAAAAAGAAAACAGGAAATAAGCACAGGGGCAGATGGACCACTACCCTGATGTGAAGAGAGAGAGGGAAAGTGGCAGTTTTTTGGGTATAGAGGCCTGTGTTCTTTTTGCGCATCCAGCCTGCGTAAAAAAAAACTGTACCGCTCAAAGGGCCTTTTTTCACCTAGCACCAGCTACAAATGGCCAACAAGGGCTTCTTCTCCAATATGGCCGTCGTGTGAGCAGTGAACACAGCTGTACTTGGAATCCGCTCAAAGAACAAACGGAGAACAGGGGAAAGAGGGAGACGATTTTGTAAGGCACGCAGAGACTCAAGACAATCTCGGGCAGAGGTAAAAGACGGAAAAATATCCTTCATTTGAGAAACAGTTGAGCTCCAGAGCTAGGAGCCATAGAGTTACACGGAAGGAAAAAAGGGAAATACATTTGTCTGTGTGGGCAGTAACTAAAAAAAGCAATATTTCAGCACCAACATCACAAAGAAAGGTACTCATCCTGTCATCCTATCAGAAAAAAAAGATAACATCTTTCCCACACAGACACAGACTGATGCACTCTGCTTGACTGAAGACACGTTATTTGAAAGACTCCTTTAAACCCAATCAGTACTTTTGCCCCATTCCCAATACAAAGTCACTGGGAAGCCAGAGCCTACGCCAGCAAGCAATGGTCCCAAGGACACACAGCGTGCCATACCAAAGGGCCAATTTTCCCAGAAGCCAACTGAACTACCAGTATGTCTTTCGACTGTGGGAGACAACCTACAAACTCCACAGAGATAGCACCCCAGGTCCAGAATTTATCCTTGGACCCTGGGGATGCAAAGCAGCAATGCTGACCACTACACCAACATACCATTCCATTCATCCATCCCTTCAAATCCTCATATTTCAATGCAAAGGCTTGTGTTCCAGTGTCTAATAACCAAGAAGAATCAACACTGGGTTTTATTCAACATATACATGAAAACTTCAAAACTCACTGGTTCTGAGGTTCAAAGGGCACAGATCGCAAAATGGGCCACCAGACAGGTTAAATCCACAGGAAGTGATGACTGAGCGTTTGAAGCAACAGTATAATAGAATCATGGTTACAAAACAAGAGGCGAACGCAGTGGTGAAACCAGCCTGCCCGAGACAGCAGCCTTTCAAAACAAACAAAAACTTTGCTTTCATGAGTTACTAAGCTCACCTCCCGTCAACCGTGTGAGTCAGACAGCTCATCAGACAGAGCTCACCCAACACTTCAGACTCTCAGCCGCACAGAAGAAAGCAAATCTGACAGGAAGTGAAGAATCCTGAGCAGGTCAGAAACACTTCATCTCTCACCTTCTTTAGCAGAAGCCGCCGAGAGTTCATTTTAAAACCAAAAGGCCAAATGGAGAGACCACTATCCTTATGGCCTCAGTTTATTGCTCTCCCCTACGTGTGCGGAAGAGCTCCTAGCAGTCTAATCCGCCCAACTTTGACAGCGCTTGGGCAAATCATGGCTTTGCTCCGAGCTGCAGCTGGAGTCACAAGACTGGGAGATTCTTGACCAGGAACACAAGGAGCTGGGGGTGTGGGGGCATTGGAAGGGCACCTTCAGTGAGTGGTGGAAGAGTGGGCCACAGGGCACGGGGGCAGAGTGTCTGTCCAGACGGAACATGGAGAAGCACAGGTGGTGCAAAACAAGGGCATTTTCAAACTTCAACTTTTGTCAACTGGAAGAAAAAAAAACTTATTGCATCATCTAATTCTGATGGGACAGGGTGGTCAATGCTTTGCTGAAACTAGGTCAAGACCTTAAGAAAACCACAAGAAATGGTGAAAAACACCACTATGGTAAATTTACCATAAATATACTTGGAAATGGAGATCTAAAAATAAAGCTCCTTACATTTCGGTGAAGCTCTCCACTTCCAAAAGATTCCGAGATTCTTCACATACAGGAGAGGATGGTTGGCATCACAAAACAGCAGCACCCCTGTGGGTGAGGTGCCCATTTTGTGCCCGTAGCCCCACAGGGGAGAGAGTGAGAAATTGCTTCACAGAGTGGACTTCAGTCAGGAAACTGGGCTTAACAGCCCCAATATGATGAACAGTGCCATTTACTTTATTAAACAAGCAGGCCCCAAAACGGATTAACTTCTCTTACAGTATCCCTGGTCTCCGTACTGGAGAAGTGGGCTGGAAAGCACCAACTTCTGATTCACCAACACTGCTTACAGCTACAACATGCAAGATCTCACATCCCCATACTGACCAGGGCCAGCCTTGCATAACTGAAGATCTGACAAGATCAGGCTACAAGGTGGTAAACACTGCTGTTGTGCTCCGTAGGACTAATCCTGCGCTTTGGGTAAAGGCTTTTCCTAGAACCGCCCATCACGAACACCCTAACATAACTGGTCTGGTGTATTATTGTAAATTCCAGTCTGTCTGCAGGAGCTGGCACGGTGCCCTGACTGCTGATCTCAGGTGCCAGTCTATAATCATATCGTGTTTAACTTTCAGTATCGTCCTAGGAAGGCCACTGTGGAAGGGGGAGCTTTTCTGGGATGGGGAGATACATGCCATGCAAGTAACTGGGCAGCAGCTGAGGGCCCCGGGAGTTCGAACACAAGCCCCCCTGCTCACGCCTGCCCTGATTTTCATCCGTGACAGATCTGGCACAGCGTGCACTTCAGTCAGGAAAGGGAAGGGCGCCACCGGGTCCTGAGCTTCACAGCTGCGGTGTGTACTCTCCCCGCTCGACAGGTGTGGTGAGGACGCAGCTATCAGTGCTCCGGGGATGAACTCTGCCTGCTGAGTCACTTCAGGCAGAGACAAGATGGCCCAGAGAGGGAGAAACAGAGGTGGAGTGAACCGGTCGCAAAGAACCCCTCAGACCGAGCACTCCCAAGACAGCAAAGGAGGAAGCACAAGAGCAGAGGACAAGGAAGGATTGTGTGTCTAATTAGAATAACGAAGTACCTGCACTCATAAAGCCCTTTACAACCCAATGTGTGTCACACATCACCTGTATTTCACCAGGAAGTCACCGTGTCCCTTCAGGAATGAGACCCGGTATTAAAGGTGAGAGGTCAAGCAGCACTTCAACCCAATTAATGCAGGGCGACTTCAGAAAGGTCAAAGTTTACAGCACGTAGCAAAGGGACCACGAAGCCAGACCCTCCGTTTAATGTTTCATGCAAAGTTATACGGCACAAACTGTGTGATTTAAAAGCACCCCTTGACTTTGAACAGCTTTTTGAGGCCGTGCTGCTCTGGCACCTGGAGAGGACCAACTGCTGTGGGAGGCGAGGAGAGGCGGGAAAAGTGAGACAGAAAGACGGAGAGAGACGTTGACAGTCGTGCCGTGGCCCGCGGTGGTCGGGCGGAGGGCGGCACCTGTCCAAGCCCAGCTCCCCGTGCTTCCTCTGGCAGAAACTCCGCCGCTCTGCTTGGGCACGACTCAGCCCGGGCGAGTCGGCACAACCTGTGGCTCCCCTCCTGGGTACCCGGCCAGCAGCAGCCAGTCTTCAGGTCAGAAACACAGCTGATCTCGCCGTGATCAGCACCTTGACCAGTGCGCCCAAAACCTGGCTCTTTAATTCTGAATTGGGCTCTGCTTCCTCACAACTAGACTTTGAATAGCAAGTATATGCTGTTAATAATTCCGAACAATCAAGATGGGTTGAATGGCATCTTGTTTATCATCTTTATTTTAACCCCCACCCCTGAAAGAGCCCGGTTTTAAATGCATCAATTGCTATTGAAAGAAACGGAAGGTTTTATATAGTAAATCACATTCTACATACACCACTTCAAGTGACTTGATGCCTTCCAGATGAGCTTTGTATAGGAGACATGCTGGATCCAGACATCACAAGCACACTTGGTGACAGAGAACAAATGCTTATTACAGCCACTGTAGATACTGTGCGTCAGGAAAGAGTTCCAGTGTCTGCATCTCTGAAGCGTGGGTAAAATGCCTGCCAGATGCTCGGATTGCTTTTGTCAATTTATGTCTCCTGATAACCATCAGATGAACATCCTTTCCAAGCGCTGGAACTGTTCGCTTGCAGAGACAAACAGATAAGCCTCTTCTGCCAAAACACTGCCTCAGTTCTGTCTCTGCAATCAAAACTTCCATTGTTCCCAGAGGAGAGCTGTGGGGCCCCAGTGACAATACGACATAGTTCAGCAGCCCCTGACAAGACCAGAGATTAAGTATTCGGTACTGTGTATTCTTTACAGTGAAGCTATCACTTTCCGCAACGCTGTAGAATTCCAACCAACAGGAACTGGGTTTTTAACTGGAGAGCTCTTGTTGCTTTGTTCACAGCAGCTCAGGCACTCATTAATACACAATGAAGTGTCTTGGTACGGGATCCTTTTCCGCGGAAATGCAGTTAGAACTAGCACACCAAGCAGACGCATGCCGAGCAGATCCCCCGTGTGAAGAATACAGGAATCAGATGGAATTTCCTCTACTTGGGAGGTTGAGATCTTTGCATTTTAAATCATGACCCTGCGTGCCTTCACTGTGCAAGTGCTGCAAGAACCATCTTTTATTTGTTTTATTAAATCAGATGGAGTCCACCCTCAGAATAATTAGACAAAGATAGCTGACACGCAAGTGCCAGAACAACATTAAAAGCTGACAAAACGCACATCAAACAAACACTGGAAACTTTCTACACAAAATCCTAGAGAGTACTTCTTCCCAAATTCCTCCCAGTATCCTTCATATGTCCTGAAAAATGGGGCTGGGGGGGGAGATTTCTAATACCATCCAGACATCCATTCATTTCCTAACCACTTCTTCCAATTCAGGGCTGTGGGGGAGGAAAAAGCCTGTCTCAGCAAGCAACTGTGTGCAGGCAGGACACAGACACAGACTCACACCAGGGCCAGTTTTCCAGAAGCCAATTAACCCAACAGTATGTCTTTGGATGGCAGCAGGAAACTGGAGCACCCGAAGGAAAGACTTACAAAGACAGGGAGAACATACAAACTCAACACAGACAGCACAGACAGCTGTGGAATTGATCCCAGGGTCCAAGCACTGCAAAGCTGCAATGATCAACACTGCACCACCATGCAGCCCAATTTCTAATTCTCTTCAGGACATCTGAAAGGGGTCCATATGCATCTGAGAAGTTCGTTGCTCTGCTCTTGGCCATCATGCAGTATATTCAGCTTTCAGTGGATGAACCGATGAGTTTAAAAGCTGTCACTGTGCCTTCCAGCACCCCTTACATAAGACTTGTTCACAGCATTGGCTTAATCTCCACCTGCAACAAACTACTTTGATCCCTGATCCCGTGTTGATTTCTGTCAGAGTGGAATAGCACATCCCTTCAGCTAGCAGGTCTAAATTTTGGCCACCCATAGCTGTCACACCTGAGGAACACTGCTGGACAGCCTTCAAAGCTAGAGAGCTTAATTAAAAAAATCCCCTTTGCTTTCTCGGTAACAAAAGCTACATACCACACAGGCCATAACTGACAGCGTCAATACTTTAATAAGGTGAGAAATGTGTTAGGACTGACAATGAATAGCTCACAAAGCGCTAGTCTCTTATTCACCTTTAATGTACACCACTGTACCACTGAATAACCTGTGCATTGTACAGCAAACATTTGTTTAGCTATTGGTAATAGCAAGGGTTTCCAAAAATAGGTTTCTTGGAATATTCAATTTTCTTTTAAATCCGCTTTTATTTCTATATACCTTTTTTATTCTTGTGCTAGAAACAAATTGGAAAGCACTGTTTTCTTTAAAATCTGCTTTGTGTATAGGGCGATGATACTGTTAAATCAACAGGCAGTCATATAGAACAGAAAACAGGCAAGTTAACCTGATCCACCTACATAGGCAGCATTGCTAAAAGCCATCCAGCCTACACAGGAGATGGGGTTTTCATTCTAGTTAGGCAATATGGTCTTTGTCACAAATAAACTTTCCTAGCTAATTTCACTTGTTGGAAATAAATGGGGAAAACCAAACTGAAACTGAACAAAACAGCAGAAAATTCTTCTTTCTTGTCCACCCACAAGTCAGAGAAAGGGTTCAGCCCAGCCCTGCAGGATCTGAAGCGCCTTCGTGATGTGACAGGCCCGGTACGAAATCCCTGCCAAAAATGGGCCAGTTCTGCAAGTAGAAATTCCTTTCACCTGACAAGCTCACCAAAGGAAGCAGAGCAAATGTGAAGCGAAGAAAAATGTTTCGCAAAAGATTCCACAAAAAAAAATCTCTGCTTCTGTGGCGTTTCCATGCACTCAAGTTGACAAAATGCCAGTTTATTTATTTTCAAATACACCAAGAGGCATCGAAAGTGCAACACATGCTATATGTTCCAGATCTCTTATCTCCTGCATTTTTAATGCCTCTCTGTTCTATTAGTTCTCTTCTTCCTGCTTTTAAAAAAAAAAAAACACACTGCTCTCTCTCTCCTTCGCTAGAGGAAGTACCCTGGATACCGCTGTGCCCCTATCTGGGGAAAAAACCTGAAGGAATACTGGGTGACAAATCCCAGTCAACCCACCACATTCCTGAACAGCCTAATCCTTCCGTGGGGATTTGTTCAGCAAAGACATTCTTATACAACACTGGGTGAGAGGACTAGGAGGCCAGGCTGCTGATAAGGAAAAATAATTCTAAAGAACTAACAGAGTTCTCATCATGCACCTGGCAGTTACCTCAACTTCTTTTAGGACATTTTTTTTTGTACTGGAGGTTGGAAGAGAGATAGACAACAGGTTTGCTCATCTTTTGCAACAAATGAGAACATTTAATATTCCACACGCACACACAAAATATTTATTCACATGACATACTGATATTGGGGGCTTGATTATGAATAAAAGGAGAATCGCTGAAAAATGTATTGCAGAATGTGGAAACAGTAGCCTGGGTTAAATCAAAACTTCAAAGCTCATCTAAAGAGCCCGTCAGGAGTGGACAGTTGTCCAGGGCCTGTAGGGGTCAATCCAGTGTCAAGAACTAGCTAAGGGATTGTGGGATTGGTGTGTAGGGGGAAGATTAGCTTTTGATCCAGGCCAACGTGACACTAAACAACTTCTTTGGTCAAAAGTCAGGGCGCCCCCTTATTTTCACATATGTGGGCCCCATCTGTTTGAGTAAGTGGACGTCCACGCGAGATCAGACCCCCAAACCGGGCCGTTCCCTCCCCACAGAAGAACCCCAGGTGGGTGCCGTACCTGCTGGCGGAAGGTGTTTTGCCGGGACAGCGGGGACTCCCTCCCCGGTACGCTCCTCATGCGGACCGCCCCCTGCCGGTCCAGGGAGCGGGGCCGCGCGCCCCTGAACTGGCTGCGCTCGTGCCAGGACTTGAGTTCCTCGGACACCACCTCGCGGGGCAGCGCGCAGCCGGGGCTGGCGCGGCGCGGGTGCTCCTTAAGAGAAGGGGCGCGGCTCAGCCGGACGTGGGCAGGCAGGGGCCTGAGCACCCGCTGAGCCTGGGGCGTGACCTCCTCGTACCAGAACTCTCGGGGGTCCCAGTGGTGGGGCACTGGAGGACCCAGATAAAGTCTGCCCATGTCTATCTCGGCAGGTAAGTATGGCCCATCCTCAACATACCCCCGGTAGAAATTGGGCGAGGACACATGCTGTGGGTTCCTGTAAAAGGTCTGGCCATTAAAAGCAGGGTGTATGCCATAGTTCCCGTTGGGCTGCCCACTGTAATGCCCACTGGGATGCCCATTGTGTTGGCTGACATAGTAGTTGCTGGTTCCAGGATAAGGAGGGGGGCAGGGCCTGGCCTGCTCAGAAACAACCTCGCGGTGAGGAGAACTGGCATAAGAGGGCACGGACTGCTCCGAACTGCTGTCCTCGGAGCTGGACTGGTACAGTGGCTTGCCCACAGTCATCGGCAGAGGCGAACACTCTGGTGAAGGCACAGTGAAACTGGTAAGCCTCCTGGCAGGTAACCTGGCACGTCCTCTCATTTGGTTGGGATCTTGGGGCACATCATTGGTAGGAACCCTGTAAAACCCAAAACATTGGCATCAACTTCGCCTTGAGACATCTGGATACTGGGACAATACGTCATCTACAGGATGGACAATTCTGATGGCCAGGCTCCAAATATACCCACCGATAATCATACTTTTACACTCTCCCTCATCAGTACTGACAGCAGTTGAAGCACATGGTTCCCACCATAACATCACCAAGCATGAAGGGCTTTTGCATACAAGATGCTCCAACATCCCACGTGTCAGAGACTCTTGCTACTTGACACGCTGCTGACTCCTCAGTATAAATAAGGAGAGCTAGCCTGCATTAGGACTGCTCAGCAAGTCCCAGGAGGCACTAAGAGATAACCCTGGGTGACGTTAGGCCCCTGAACCTTGTAGCTGCTCATCTAACTGTTGTTCCCTTCTTGGTGGCTGGCTAATGACACAGGTTGTACGGAATTCAGAACTGGTGTACTATGTACTGTGTACGTTACTGCTGTAACGGTCTACTCACTGGGGTTATTAAATCCACAACAAACTCCAGTATGTCCACAATTCAGCAACCAGAATCCTAACCAGGTCTAGTGCAAGTGATCACATTACTCCTATCCTGGAGTCCTTGTACTGGCTTCCTGTCATATTCCATGTGGACTTTAAAATCCTCATGCTCACCTATAAGGCTCTGCATGGCTTGGCACCTCAGTACCTGTCTGAACTATTACCGCCCTACTCCCCACCTCGCAACCTCTGCTCTTCTAATTCTGGTCGTCTAACTGTTCCCCAAGCCTGTCTACATTCTATGGGTGACAGGGCCTTCTCCTGTTATGCCCCCAAACTCTGGAACTCTCTCCCAAAGGATATCAGAGAGACAGCTTCTCTAACCTCCTTCAAATCCAGACTCAAAACCCTCTTCTTCAGAAGAGCCTTTACTTAACTGGTTCCATTCTTTACCTCTCTGTTCCTACTGTATTTAGTACCACCATCTACTGTCTCCTCTGTGTAACCTCATCGTGTTTATCTTGTGTGTTTATTTTATTTTTATTGTTGTTGCTGTCATTCTGTAAAGGGCTTTGAGAGGCCACCTTTAAAGGGGCTGTATGAACTGCTGACTTGGAAAATGCCAGCTTGGGGCCTCATCACCAACCATACAGCACGTGTCCAGGCACGGCCTCTCGAGAGCTCTGACCTGAAGGACTGGGAGTGCTGGCGCCGCCCCGGCAGCTCAGGAGTGGAGGGGGCGCTGTTGGAGTGGACGTGGCGCAGTGCCAGGGTCTTGACGGGCACGAAGTGGAAGGGAAGAGCCGCTTCGCCCAGCCGGGGGTCCACTGGCGTCGATACTGGGGTGACAGCGGGGCTACTGCACGAAGAGGGAGAGCGAGGGGAAAGAAGTGAAACAGTCAAGCAATTGTTCTTCACAATTTTGGACATCAAAAATTTCATTTTTACTGCAGGAAGAATGCTCTGAGTCATAAAAAGGAGAGCGGTACAGAATTCTTAGTATTAAACTTCTATAAACAATGGAGGATAAATATCTGTGCATGTTAACAGCCTAATTTTCAATTCGGTTATTATTACATCCTTCAAATGCAAGTCGGAGCAAAACCCCTGCTCCCTCAGTCTTAAAATATCTTTCAAAGCACACGGCACGGCTCGGGTTTCCTTGAACTGAACCACTTCAAAAAACATCCTGCACCTTAACCTTCTAAAGTGGTTTGAAAGCACTCACGCACGGACAGAACGACACGCGTCCGGACCGTCTTTACTGCAAACCACAAGCCGCTAGCCCAGAACAGCACGGCGGGGAACCAACAGATATTCTCACACCTGGTGAGCTTGTGGTAAACTTCTCGGGCTGACAGGCTAGCACTTGCTGGAGGTTCCCCAGTGAAAAATGAGGTGTGTCATCGAAGCATGAAACAGGCAGATGCAACACTAAGAGTTCTACTGGCAAAGCTTGGCAGCAATATTCAAAAGATCAAGCAGAAGTTCCCAGATCAAAAGTAAAAAGAGTATGAGTGATTTTACAAACTTTAACTTCAACGTTGTTTTGTGCAGTTCCCTACTTTAACCTTGTAACACTATGCTCTAATTCTACAGACAGGTGCATTTGTATTCTTCTAAATCTCTGAAGAATGCAGTATTTACCACAAAATAACACCATAAAAAAAAACAGGAGCTGAACTGAAAAATGCACCTCATGTTGTCACATTTGGAGAAAGAAAGAAAAGTGTATTGCGGACATATTTTCTCCATACTGTAAGGGAGCTACTCATTTTAAGAAGGGTTGCTCGGGACACATACTGGCTCAATTAAAGTTTGCACATACACAAGGATGGAAATTCCCGACTCGGTCTCTTTGCGGTCCAAATGCTCCTGCTTCACACTGAGCTGGCAACAGGGCAGGGCTACCAATTCCGGTGTCTCCCCAGGCCACACACAGCCACAGCCACCCGAGGAATCAATCCCAACGAGCCAGATACAGACAGGATGAGCCGGGTGGTTTCTGGTTACTCTCCCACTGCCGGTAACCTAGTTCTAGTGTCAGGAAAAAGAAACCCAACTCGACGCAAACTCCCACGGTATCGCGGCAGAAAAGCCGCGCAGTTTCTTAACAGTTCGAACAAAGCCAGCTTTCGCTGACAGGACGCTGTTTTTTAAGAAACATCCCTTTCACACATTCAGCTTTTCCTTTGGTTGCGCTTTGAGCTTCAACTTTATGGATGACAATGCATAGAAAACCAACCCAACCTTGATCCAAAACACATCTATCTTCTCTCCAGCTCTGTTACCACAAGGCAACATTAACCAAATACTTTACTAATGAAAGTTCTTTCAGCTTGAAAATGGTTGGATATTTGAAATTACGTCTAACTCTTCAAAAATCTTATTGAAAATTTTATTTTTTATTATAGTCAGCAGTTGTGCTAGTGCTGAAAGCACTTGAACATCCTTATTTGCAGATGGAAAAATGAAGCCCGCGGTGCAAATCTGATCCTGTGGTTGCCCTAGACGTCTTGACTGTTATCCTTGGAAAACTGCTACCAACCCTCTGATGTCACACAAACCGGGTTCAAATCTTCAGGATCTGATACTCATTTAGAGGTAATCAAATCCTAAAAGAGGAGTTTGGCTTTTGAACCACCAAGAAATTCCAAACGCGATATGGTTTGGGGGAAAAGTTGAGCACACCCTTTTAGAATCCAAAGTCTGAATTCAGAAATTGAAACTTGAAAGTAACTGAAGATGTCAAATGTGCACGAATACGGGATTTCTTGCATGTTTTCTGGAAAAAAAAGTGGTGTAGTTTACTCCTACAAAAAAAAAGTGAGTCTATCATAAAGCACAGACGCACTTAAAGCTAACAGCTTACATATAGCCTGGTACCAACACGGTGTGGTTTAGATAGTTAGATCTCATTGATGAAATCGGTCATGCCCTTTCCAAATCTCCTGGTTCACTTCAGACAGGAGAAATCACCTGAAGTCATTCTGAAAGGCATTTACAGAGACATGAGCAGTTGATGCGTCTTTGTTGTTTGGATTGTTCTGTGACACACCTAGAACAGTAAGAACTGGAACAGATTGCGCAGAGGCAGGTGAAAGTGAACAAAGGACAATAAATCCCTGCAGTTTTTATTTAAAATGATGTCACGCCTGTCTGCGTGCTGTACAGGGTGGTGCTGATGAAATGCTGTCTCATACTTTGGTTTCTGTTTTTCTTTTTACATTTCCTTGTAATAATGAGCAGATGTCCTAAATATATTGGCCTACATCTTAAGGTGTGCAAGCGACTATGTAAAGAAGCTTATTTTTTTCCCCACACACTGGATGGAAGGGTGAGGCTTTTGCAGTGCCAATTAGAAATCATGACAAGGGCTTTAATTTGAAGTACAAAAAAAAGCCGCTGGCAGCACTGTGGTGCAGTGGTTAGCTTTGCTGCACCATGGCACCAGGGCCCTGGGTTCAATTCCAGACCTGGAACGCTATCTGTGCAGAGCTTGTATGTTCTTCATGTGTTCGTGGGAGTTTCCACCTGGTGTTTCAGTTTCTTTCCACAGTCCAGAGACACGCTGGTAGGTTAATTTGCTTCTGGAAAAATTGGCCCTGGTTGTGAGTGTGTGTGTTTGTCTGTGGGGGCCCTGCAAGGGACTGGTGTCCTGCCCAGAGTGTACCTGATCATGTGCCTAAGTGATTAGAAAATGGATGGATGGAAGGAAAGGCAGCACACGGCACATCCTGAATTCAAAATTCAGAAGGCCTGCCTCTCGAAGTTTTTCCACTGAGCCAATGCCAGCATCTCTGCATAACTGCCTTACCTGGACTGGCTGCTGCAGGCGGAGAGCGTCTTCCTGGGCTTCTCGTAGGGCTGGTCCAGGCTGGACTCCTTCCAGGGCGTGTTCTGGATGGGGGAGCGTTCGTACTCTAGGCTGGGGCTGTAGCCCGGCCGCAGGCCGTCCAGGGTCTGTGGGGGGGTCCTCCGGGGGCTTCGGTGAGACGGTAACGGTGAGGCCTGAGGCGGGGGGAGGGAAGCCGGCGTGTGGACAGGGTCTGAGGTCGGCGGTGCGGACTGGCTGGGTGCCTCTTCTGGTAGAGGAGAGAAACAGCAATTAAGCGGAGTGACCAGAGACTGTGCATCATCAGCAAACACAGGCCAGTATAACATCCCACCAGCCTATGAATACAGGCTAGTACCTATACAGAGAAAGACATCTTCTTAAAGACTGAAGGCCGGTCCTGACTTGCTCTGCTATGTTTTGAAGCTATGTTTTTAGGCCAAGACGAACCAGATATCATATTTCTTCTAATCAAATTCTTTATTTCTTGTTGGCTTCTTTGAATTAAAAGTAAAATTGTATTCCTATGCCATGTATGAACTAGGAACAAGAATATTTCCACAGTTTGCAATAACAGCTGGCCTTGATTCATCATAGTTTAATTTTTAAAGACTTTCTACAAAAAAAAATTAAGATTGCTTGTACTTTCTCCTCTTTGCTCTTGTTGGGCCAGGAATTATTTTGCAAAGCCTGTCGCTCGGTTGCTGCTGTTTAAGCTCCTCAACCTCCACAAGACAGATTTCTACAGAAACTGCAACCTCTACCAAAACATCAGTCCCTTTTCTGCAGGGGTATCTGAACTCCTACCATCATCCAGGACTGCGGAGTCCGATAGGGAGCTGTCGTCAGAGGCAGCAACGTCTGGAGACACAAACAAGCGGGGAGTCAGCGATTCCTGACGGGGGAGCCCAGTCTCGTCACTTGTGCTCAACAATCACACCCACCCTCATAGCACAGCAACCCATAGCACAGTAGCTGGATGAATTTTTATTTGAATATATACCGCCCAAGTTGAAATCGCATGTTTTACGAATCGACTCTCAACTCGTCTTGGATAAAGGTGAGAGTGCACGCCATTTCCATTCTAATTTGACGCTGGTCGGAAATCTGGTCCCATTGGAGAAAAGCCAGACTGGGAAGGATCTACAGTGCGAAGAATCTTTCAGCCCACAGGTGTGCTGATGAAACAGTCTTATAAGAAACGCACTTTAAATACCCCAAAAGAGGGTTTGAAGCACAGCTCCTTCATCTGAAGTGTAGTCTGCTATATGCAAAGGAGTGAAATGTTAAAATGTTTGGCTTATGGAGGGCGAGCAATACACCACTTCTGTTGCCCGTGGTCATGCTGCAATGCCTTCACCCTGAGTCTTGCCTCGTACCCTGACCAAGCCATGGCGTCTGCGGGGAAGCCTACCTTTGTGTCCGGCGGCGAGGCCCGGGCGTGGTGAGCCGTGGACCAGTCTCAGCCGGCGCTGGTACACGGCCTCCTGCAACTCCTTCACCTTCCTCTCCTCCCTCTTGTACTGCTGCTGCCGGCTCCTCTTCACCGGCTTGCTGTGGTGCTCCTCCAGGGACAGCCTCCTGGCCGCCTCGTAGATCTGGAGCTGCAGGGCCAGCTCAGCCTCCAAGGAGCTGAGCACCGGGTCCTGTTGGAGGAGGGCAGAGACACGGGCGGGTCAAGGCCCGATGCAAATACGGAGAGCAGATCACAGAGTTCTCCATCTTCTCCTTGTCCTCTGTGAGGTACTTTGAAACAATATTCAGAGAACCGTGCTTTAGGCACGAAACGGAATGTGATCTCTGAATTTGTGCTGGCCAGCGAGTGCCTTTCAAGTTGAATACCATCAAAACATTGAAGGCGAAGCACCTGGAACTTGTCCCTGAGTGAGGAATGTCAATTACATGCGAGGGTGAACTTAAACAATTGCTTAATTATCAAGCCAGCCCCTGACATCCAGCTGGCAAAATCATCAAAGCCACCATGAACAATGAAACCAGGACTTGGGGTCATGTGGACAAACTGTCCTTGGGTTCCCGTTACTGGAGTGTCTCAATGCCAGCCTGCCCAAGGCATCCTTGTCCAGATGTCATGGGCAAGCCACACGGGACCAGCAGGCTGCTTATAAGGTTAGGTCTTTTTTTTTAAAAAGCTGCATCCAAACCATCTTCCCACAACTATAGACTTTTGTACCAGAAGTATGCCAGGAATTCTGGGTATCCTGGATTCCTGGGAATGGGAGGTGCAGCTATTGGCCATTTGGGGTTTTGCTGGGTACAAGGCAATCTGGGCAGCTGGCTAGTTCATATGATGAAATCAGTCTTGCTTCCATCATGACATTAACTCTAAGTCAGTGCCCTGCTCTGGTCATGCCCAGATGGTGTCTGGGCCACAGACGGGATTGTGTGGAGCTGTGGCCCACTGCAGGGGCTCCAGCAGACTCCCACGTTAACAACGCTTTAACAGTTCTTGCTGCACATACTAAACTAGCAGATTGGCCTTCTGCTGACAGACTCTCGGCGAGGCCCCTGAACCGGATGTACCTCTCCCCGTGGCAGGATGCTCTCCGCGTTCAGTCGGAAGGCCGCCCCGATGCGGCGGCGTATTTGCGGGGGCTTCTCTCCGGGCAGCAGGGGGTAGTCTTTGGACAGCTGGCCCGTCAGCTCCTGTGGAAACAGTAGTGAGAGTATGAGCTCAGCTGCGTCTCTCAACAGGTAGAGAACAGACCAGCTGTAATGAGTTTGTTAGGCTCAAGAAACAATTGAAAAGCAAAAGGAACAGTGGGCACTGTCGGCAGGGATTTTGTAGACAGCAAAAAGTCTGAGTCTTGAATGATGTGCTAAAATGCTAAAATGAAGAGCTTTTCAGCACCACTCTAAAGAAATTTGGTTGCCAGAGAAAAGACAAAATGTCATTCTCAGCGTAATCATACCACAACAAAAAGGCATGAACACAATAATTCCACAATCTTCCTAATCAGGAACAACAAGGACTCCACAGTATGAGGAAAACAAAACAGGTGCAGACATCATACTCATCTTGGTCTCAAGACACGGGACGAAAACGCTCATTAACACAAGTCGACAAGTTCACACAAGCAGCGCTCATGCACAAGAGCAGAGGGTGTGTGAATCTGCCGAGTTGTACCTTTCTGGGAAGAGCACTTCCTGCCCAACAGAGCTGCTTCCTCTGGCCTGGATCTACAGCTCCTGAGCAAAACCTGAGCTGTGCTGGGCGCATACGTTACATGTTGGGACAGGATGAGAACCAACAGCCAAGCTTCTGTTATGCAATCCCACTTTTGCTTCTCTTTGCCAGAGCCTGTACTGTGTTGCGAAAAGAGATTATGAGCTGTCATGTCTGAGACAGACACTAGATCACATCTGTATCTAAACGAATTAACATATGAGGGGTTGGAAATAAGAGGAGGCCTTTTTACTGATAGCAAAACCAATTCCAGAATCTCATCCAGGCGTTTTGTGAAGGATTCTACATCTGGGCTAAAAAGTTTGTTCCAGACCCCTGCCACTCATTACGCAAAGAACTGCCTGCTGTTTTTTTAAAAAATAACTCATTTCTGTTGTGATCTGAGCACACCTTTCATAGTAGTCCAAGATTACAGCTGCATAATTCTGCTCTTCAAAAATTGTTAGTCTCTAGATGAGTCTTAGCTTTTTTTTTTTTACAAAGAAATTCAAAAATGAGACACTAAGTGGAATGTGGCTCTAAAAACAAAAACTTCTTTTGTTGGGATTACGTTTGGCCCAACACACTATCGCCACCCTCGAGTGTGAGGACTTAGTCTACAAAGTCACATCTGTTGTAACAGAAAAATAAATGGAATCTGATTTCATGCAAAACATCATTTCCAGCAATAAGTGAAACCTGGTCTTTGAGATAAAGCAAAAGTAAAGGCGTTATTTATGAGAAGCCCATGGTCTACCACGTCTGGGGTTTCAACATTTGCAGACAGCTGTCTTGGCACCAGATCTAAGTAAACATGGGTGTCAAGAGACAGTGATCAACTGAGCCTCCAATCCCCATTCCAAATCCCTCTTGCATTCAGCATGGAACTAAAGGCAGAGGCTCCTAAAATTACTGAAATCATGGCACCAACTTGCCCCAGCAGGCTGGTCAAGCGATAGTCACAAGCAGCGGGCAATGAGATTTAGAGCACAGATAGCTTGCAACACTGCTCTCTGTCACACTGCTCTTCAGCTTCTGTAGTAGTTAACAGAGTTCACAATGATATACAGTATTAACTGGGTACACTGTATAGTATCGGTTCACAACGATATACAGTATTAACTGGGTACACTGTATAGTATCCGTTCACAACGATATACAATATTAACTGGGTACACTGTATAGTATCCGTTCACAACGATATACAGTATTAACTGGGTACACTGTATAGTATCCATTCACAACGATATACAGTATTAACTGGGTACACTGTATAGTATCCGTTCACAATGGATATACAGTATTAACTGCTCACACACTAAATTTCAATGC